ATGACACACCCCTCTAGCCGCCCTTTCCCATTAAACTTGCCGTTCATCACCTTCTCTGTCCATACATCATTCACCCTCTCAATCTATTGCCCCTTAATTTTGCATGTAGCTTTCATGTCATTGTTTCGTTGTCTCGGACGGTACAAAAAAACCCTACCACGTCACCTTCTTCTAGATCTATTCCTAATCCAAGGAAGCTAAATCTAGTTGAATGACCGTGCGTTGCCCTGAAAAATAAAATTATCTATGAAAACACATATCATAATATCATTATATGGAGTTTGTACATCACATGCTTATGACTATGTTTCTCCAAGCATGCATTTCAATTTCCACCCTCACCAAAATATGTACTTACATGTGCTCCTTCAACCACACAAATACGTCTTATCCCCCCTCCATGAAATTCGCTTTGCATCATTGTGTTGCACATGTGATATTTAAAAACAAGGAAGCGAGTGGTGTCATCAGTATTAGTCATCTACATTTGGCACTCGGGAAGAAGGCACAATTGGCTTCTCTGACCAGATTTGATTCTATCTAGGTGTTACTCTTCTATATTGACGAGTTCCGTCTGTGAAGCGAATTCTAGGCTTCCTCCTGTTCAACACAGGTACCAAATTTGAGATGTAAAACTTTAAGATGTACATGATTTCTTGCACAAATCCTCTTGCCGAATCATGGAGTTTCAAATTTTCTGTGGACAAAATCATCCGAGTGCAGTGTATTGCAATGCTCGAGTAATAAACATATACAACAAACTTTTGAGTCTATGAATTTATGATAGTGAGGAGTATAAACTATGAAACATAGATTAGAATCTCATGAGGTCAGTACAACTTAAATGAAGTTCCTAAAGAATATAAGTTGAAGATTTCGTAACATATCAGTTGGTATTTCAATGATAGTTGGACCATAAAGTTTGCAAGCTAGTTTCCCTTCTAAGAAGGGCCAAATACATTCCTTATAAACAGCTGGAACTCTATGTCCTTAGTAAGTTTCCCGAAAAAAGCGACACTTGCACCATCATGAATGTCCGAGTACTTCGCATGCTATTTCTCAAATAAGAATGCACTGGTAACTCTGATGTGCGATTCTTGATAGAGCTACCCACATTATATGATATACATTAAACATTTAGCAATTACATACATATCTTCCATGCAACTGGCTATTATATACCGTTCAACCACATACACGTTTCTGACTTTATCAAACTGATAGGCAAAAAAACACAGGATTTAAGATTTATTTGATGGACAAATTTGATATTACCACTACCAAGCATTATATGCAATTGATATTAATCCCAAACACTGAATATATATCTTTTGATAAAAAGATTGAATTCATAGTTACACATAAGATTCAAGTAGTTGATGATATATAGAGATCAGCAGCGTGCCAAATTTAACTTGGGACTCATGAATTGAAATTCAACAACAAAATATTATATGTAGGAAAATAATTGAACCAAACCTTCATATATACGATGGTTTTGTGAAATGCAACAACAATACACTCGTGACTCATAGCTAAATGCCCGTGCATTGCCACGGAGTTCTAAAAATATATGGAGGTTGCCATGGAGTTATAAATATATGTAGGATTCATAGGTCGGTGTTGACTTGGGCGATAGGATGAGTTAATCGAAAGGAGGTCGGTTATAGGATGGGGTCAAAGAAAACCTAGGTAAAGATGATGCCAAATGCAGTCTGCAACCCATGTCAACCCATGTGCTAGAACTGGATAGCTATCTTCATGGACACAAATATACCATTGTTTGGTTCTATTCTCTTTTAGTTTGTAGAGTAAGAATTTGAATAATTTGAGTATCATTCTATCTCTCAATTGTTGAGAAATTGTGATCAAACCATGCAATGAAGGAACCAAATCAAAAGAAGCTTTCACTTGTGCTTTCTAGCCATTTAAAATAAGCATGTGGCATCAAATTATTTAATGGTGTGTCAGCCAATTCCATGATTTTCTAGAAGAGGGAGGCTCGCACTTCACAATATTCATAATTTCAAGGTATGAAAACCTTGCACACACACCTAAATTCAATAAAATATACGACAAATATATAAACAATTATACAATACACACTTGTGACACTATAAACAAATAACTTCAGTTCATGATAGCCTGATCATCCCAGGCCCAGCTTCCAGGGTTTCCACCCCTCCCACCATGTACGGCTCCCCCTCCCACCTCCGTTTTTTGTCTCCCCTCCCCTTTCGCAAAAGAAAACGGTTTTACCCATGCATGTTCACCGTTGGAAATAAGCCCCAACTCATGCATGCACATGCTTTAAAAAAAAGCCGGCCGACCCGAAAAGGAAATCTTGCCCACACACTCCGGAGGTGAGCTCGTCCAATCTTGCCACCACTCCATCTCCCCCGATTGTCGTTCTCCACCTTCCCAGCCCTCGCCACTTCACCTCCCCCATCCATGCACCGCTTTTGTAGGCAGCCCATGTCATCGCCGCCTTCATTGATGGCCCCCTCGCCACCACCACAGCGTGATGCCTTGCCATCATCTCCATGCCCCCATCAGTTGCGTCCACTAATCAAATAGTGGGATCTACAAACAGATTATACACTAAAAACTTAGTACGCAAGATTAGTGCAAACCCAAACCAGATTCAGTGAACTAAACCAAATATAACTCCCAGGCAAAAAGGGTACCTCCCCATCAGTTTCATAGAGTCACACGATCGACAACATATACAGATTTCCGATCAGATGAGTAGACAATGTTGCGAACCTCCCCAGACCATTCTGCAAAGGGTTACAAAATGGTAGATAGAAAATAGGGATGGGGGTGGTGGGAGGTGGGACGAAGAAAAACCGGTGGGAGGGGGGTGGTGGGAGGTGGGACGAAGAAAAACCGGTTGAAAAAAAACCGGTTGAAAATAAATCGGTTGAAAGTGGGGGGGACTATTCAACCAATTCGTCCATTAGGGATCCTCTTGACTCACACGCCGACCATGCCTCAACCAGCGAGCATCGGCGCATCGCCGGCGCGCTCCTCTGTGCTCTCCCTCCTCTCTTCCATGGTTGGCACAAGGGAGGGATGAGACGGGCAGGAGAGAGCCTCTTTATCTAGATCAGGCAGGGGTTAGGTTTGGAAAGAGTAAATCAGCTGGAGCGATTGAGGGAAGGAGATCGGAATGGAGCAGGGCGCGATTGAAGGGTATGGCAAGAAGAACTTTTTTGGAAAGCTTTGATTCTGGTGATAATTATCATATTCGAAATTTCCTTAGTTATAGCCTTACCATACATGGATTGATTTATTACTATAATTATCATATTTGAGATTTCTAAGTTTATAGCCTTACCATACGTGGATTAATTGTGATTGATTACCATAAATACGTTGGGTATTGTCGGCCAGACGAGAAAGAGAAAAACCGGTGGGAGGGGGGTGGTGGGAGGTGGGACGAAGAAAAACCGGTTGAAAAAAACCGGTTGAAAATAAACCGGTTGAAAGTGGGGGGACTATTCAACCAATTCGTCCATTAGGAGTAGAGATATACATGTCCAGAAATTTACCTGGAGCATGTACATTTAGAATTTTGTTAGCAACTCACCTGTAGAAGGCATAAAAATTGAGGTCACCAGACACAAAATTAAAAAATACATACACATCATGTATGTTCACGATCATGTGAAGTGAAACAATTTTGAACAATAAACCGAAAAATGACGTGTTAAATTAGTCTACGTTCCCAGGAGGCCAAACAGAAATCAAAAGATGTGATGTTCAGTTATCAGTCTACAAACTGAAAGGCATTGTGCTATTCATGACAGTTCTCTTGAACTTCTGATGCAAGAATGCAAATTCGAATGACAAGAATAGACGGTGCCCCTTAATATAGACCCAAAATTAATTTAGTAAACCCATTGATCACAAGATTTTCCGACAGGAACACGATAGACTTCCCGACCTAGCCCTAGAACGGAACCCGTAACTTCCCCCGCCGCTCGGTCCCAAGCCCGCACTGTCGTGGGCGCCTCCCACACCGGCAGCATCCCTTCGGGGTCCCCAAGATGACGAGCGGTCCGGCGCGGCGGAAAGGGCTGGCACTGAGGAGCAGCGACTCGGTCGGGAGCCTGGCCTGCGCCAGCGGCTCCCTCCATCATCGCCGCCCTCGGCCACATCCAACGCGGTCGTCGGCCACGAAGAGGCGGACGAGCCCGGCAGCAGGGTGTTGTCCCTCCCATCGCTTTCATGTTCGACTACTCTTCCTTGGATCGCCTACCACCACAGATGCAGGGATCCTCTTGACTCACACGCCGACCATGCCTCAACCAGCGAGCATCGGCGCATCGCCGGCGCGCTCCTCTGTGCTCTCCCTCCTCTCTTCCATGGTTGGCACAAGGGAGGGATGAGACGGGCAGGAGAGAGCCTCTTTATCTAGATCAGACAGGGGTTAGGTTTGGAAAGAGTTAATCAGCTGGAGCGATTGAGGGAAGGAGATCGGAATGGAGCAGGGCGCGATTGAAGGGTATGTCAAGAAGAACTTTTTTGGAAAGCTTTGATTCTGGTGATAATTACCATATTCGAAATTTCCTTAGTTATAGCCTTACCATACATGGATTGATTTATTACTATAATTATCATATTTGAGATTTCTAAGTTTATAGCCTTACCATATGTGGATTAATTGTGATTGATTACCATAAATATGTTGGGTATTGTCGGCCAGACGAGAAAGAGAAAAACCGGTGGGAGGAGGGTGGTGGGAGGTGGGACGAAGAAAAACCGGTTGAAAAAAACCGGTTGAAAATAAACCGGTTGAAAGTGGGGGAAACTATTCAACCAATTCATTCATTAGGAGTAGAGATTAGTTTCTGTCTTTCTGATATGTTTCTCTGCGAATGGATGACATGAATGAATCTTTCAGAGTTTTGTTACCTTGCTGTGTTACATCTTCTCTCTTGAGCTTGGTTACGTGCCGCCAACCCTGATTCAGCCGTGTCCCACTGCACTCCATCATGGATAGTCATGAATATAGTGAGCTGGAGAGGGCGTTAGGTGACAAAAGCATGGGTCCAGTTGTCATTCCTTACTCGGTTTTCAAGGCCATCACAAACAATTTCTCTGCTGATCAACTAATCGGCAGTGGTGGGTTTGGAGTGGTTTACAAGGTACGTGCACCCTTAGGCTCACACCTGCGCTCACAGTCATAACCTGGCACGCTGATAATTGTGCTGTGAACTGCAGGGTACGCTTCGAAATGGTATGATGGTTGCTGTGAACAAACTTCGTAATGAACAGTTGGAGGTTCTCTCACAAAATTTCGACAGTGAGGTCGATTGTCTCAAAAAGGTCAAGCACAAAAATATAGTACGGTTTCTAGGGCACTGCTCTAACACGCAAATGGTGCCGATGCTATATGAAGGAAAAGAAGTCTTGGGAGTAGAACGAGAAAAGTTATTATGCTTTGAGTACCTAAGTAAAGGGACCCTCGACAAGTACTCCCTCCGTCACGATTTAGAAGGCACCGTTAAATTTGCGTGCGTTTCCACAATAGAAAAGATTTAAGACGCATTGCATTTATTTCTAGTAGCTAATTAGTACTCCGATATACTATTTCTATATGCATGCGTAGTGTGAATGCTATTTTTTAGCCCATCCAACAACCAATAGATAACCACCTAGATCCTAAAGAATTTCCAAACGCGCCTTCTAAACCGTGACGGAGGGAGTATTTCAAATCAGTCACATACTCCTACACTCCTACTTGTCATTTTTATGCAGCATATCATTGATGTCTATTTTTATTTTTTCCATCTTAAACGGAAGTTTGGACATTTTGCCTATGCAAAGTGTACACATAGTGAAGAAGCAGGTGTCTCTGCTTTTTTTTACTGAACATGCGTATACTTGATTTGCACATCGTGCAATCAACCAAGTTGCGTGTTTCTCCTTCTGTTGCACTGCTCTTCTGATGGCATAATAACAAATTAAAAATAACTATTTCTTGTATTTTATACGCATCACAGAATGCGAACCTGAGTGGTCTACGCGATATCAGATAATCAGGGAGATATGCGAGGGCCTGCACTATCTTCACCGCCACCAGCAGCGCATTATTCATATGGACCTCAAACCTCAGAATATACTATTGGACGATTATATGGTACCTAAAATAGCGGATTTTGGTCTATCCAGGCGGTTACCTGAAAGCCAAAGCCTGATTATTACCAAAAAACGAGCAGGAACACTGTAGGCTACATAAGTCCATTTTTTTCGACATCATACAGCACTTCTGCATACCCATTTATTCATCAATCAATCACTACATCAATTTTCATGCAGGGGATATTTGGCACCGGAATTCATAAACAGAGTGAAATGACATTGAAGACGGACATATATAGTCTAGGGGTTATAATCATAAAGATTATGATGGGACTTAAACTTGACTGAGCGCCCCAACCTTGACGAGGTAAAATCATTTAAATTACCATTTCAAGATACTGGCAACTCTTTTTGAATCTAAATTATTTGATATTCAACACTTCTTATAACTACATGTTCTGGTTCCCTATTTGAAAGTGCTACCCCGGATCAAACTCTTAACACACTATGATTGTGAATTGCATAGGTGCTGGAAAGTTGGAAGAACACGTTTGGTACATCACAGAGCCATACACTATTAGAACAAGTAAAAGTATGTGCTGAGATATGGATAGATTGCACGGATGATAACCCACTGAAGCGACCTACAATAGGGGATATTATCTGTAGGCTTAATGGAATAGATATTTCAAACTCGTCTAGCACTTCATCAACTCTGATAAATGGAGTAAATATTTACCCTCTCGAGCTCTGCTTTCCATTCGAGGCAGGAAAACGTATCGAATGCCCACTGAGCATAGCTAACATGACAGATCGTTATGTGAACTATTGGGTTGCACCCCAGTTCCCCAATATGTATACTCCTTGTAAGCACGAACTCGTGAACGAAATCCGTACTGGAACCAACAATCTGGACCCAATGTCAACTGGCTCTTTCAATGTGACAATGCTGGAGCAACAACAACCGCCATCAGACGCGGGCATGTTTAAGATAGTAATGATCGCCATGGGGAGCAGGAACGACCTTAAAAAGCTGAAGTCATCCATAGGCGATGAGCCTAAAATTGATGGCGAATTATTGAAGCGAGTCAAAGAGGTAGGGGGCGAGGAGCATACAGCAATGTTGAGGGCCGTCATCTGCCTACCAAGTGAGGAGGGAGTGGCCCCCAAGGTGAGTTCTGCATATCAAGTAATCCCTCTGTCTCAAAATAAATGTCTCAACTATAGCTTTATGGACGAATACGCGACATGAGCACGTCGGCGATGAGCGACCGCGCGGCGCCGCTGCCGGGCTGACCTCCTTCCTTCGACCTCCCCTGCCTCCGGCGGCCCCGGATCTGGAAGCTCTGCCCCGTCCGCTCACCGCCCGTCCCAATTTCGCTGCTCGTCGTGCCCGAGCAGCCCGTGTGGTAGCTGCGGGCAGCCGCGTTCGCGACGGCCCCATGTCCGCGACGGCTGCTCCGTCATCGTCGGCCGCTTCAGCCCCGTCGCTCACCGCCCCTGCTCTGGCCGCCGCGCTCGCCGCGGCCTTCCTCGCCGGACGGAAGGCTGGCCCGGCCGTGCAGGGACGCCTCGGCTCCGCGCCGAGCAACCAACCTCCGCCGCCCGCCGCCCCCGTCCACCTTGTCGCGGCCCCCGCGCCCCTCCACCAGCCCCCACCGGCGACGGCCACATTGCCAGCGCCTCCGACCCCGCTCCCGCAGCCACTGCCTCTGGCCTGTCGGCACCGGGTTGGAGAACGGCGGCCGGCAGGTCTCCCGCCCGCGCTCCCCGAAGGCTGCAGCGGCTTCCGCTCCGGCCGCAGCGGCGAGCTCTCTGGCTCAGCCGTCCGTCACCCCCGCCTGCTCTGCCGGCGCCGCCTTCGACAACCTGCTGAAGCCACCGGCGACAAGCCCCATTTGTCCCCCATCGCTCGATCTAGATCAGGCGAATCTGGATCCCGTCTCTCGACCGGTTTCGGCTATGCTCGGCTCAACGCATGTCTCCTGTTGCTTCGTCATCCATGGCGAGGGGGGAGTGGTGGCTTCTCTGGACGTGGTGCCTACTGCTTCAGCTCTACTCACCACTGTTGCAGGCGAAGGGCTCGTCGTGCAAGCGCCTCCAGTGCGTCCGGGCTGGGGAAATTGGCGAGGATGTTTCGACCGAGTGGCGGTGTCAACAGTTCCTATGGCTCCATGCGGGGATGCTTTGGGAGGTTGGCAGCTCGTCTCGAGAGGGCGCCGCTCGGCTCCTGCTGCTTTTCGTCGCCTTGTTGTCAATGTGCGGCGTCCCCCTCCGACGTGGTTGAGAGACAGGTGTTTTCGGTGCCTCTATCGAGGTCACCGAGCATACTCTTGTAGGGATCCAATTCGATGCAAGGATTGTCTTCGATCCGGCCACATCGCCCGCTTCTGCCATGTTGAGAAGCTTGTCCATGCTTCGCCACTCCAATGTCCTGCTCCACCACCTGCATCCACCGATGAAGTCTCCATGACAGATGTGCAGTTCCAACCTATCTCGACTGAGCAAGTTGGGTTGGCGGAGGAGACCGAGCTGCTTCGCATTGAGCTTCATGTCTGCCTAGTGCGAGCCGGGAGTGTTTTGGGGAGGGCGGAGGCCGCTCTCGCCAAACTAGAGGTCGTGCCGGATGTGTCTTCGCTGCCTGAGCTTCAAATTGGGGTTGTGCCTGATGTGTCCTTGCTGCCCGAGATTCAGGTTGGTTCTGTCGATGGGGAAGCATGCATGTATGGAGATCTCTCCCCTCGTGCTACATCCTGTCGGTTGCCGTTGCCTGCCGTGCCGATTGCTTCTGGTAGTGAAGTTGTTGTCGAGGTCGTGGCTCCGGTGCTACAGATTATGGCTGAGCTCCAGAAGGTTTGTGGGGAGCCTACTTCGCCTATTTCGATGGTGCTTCCTAAGGAGACGGGGCCGCTTGGAGGGAACTTGGTGATGTCGATTGCGACCTCTCCGCCGTCGTTGGAGCCCATTCAGACTCTCGACTTTGTGGACTGTGGAGGTTTGGATGCTACTATTGCTCTCTCACCTAAGGTTGTTGGCCATGTGGTGTCTGCGGGTGATGAGGTAGGTGCTTTGGCACCTAATTCTGAGGTGACGAAGCCCATTCGGTCGCCCATCTTTGACCATGATGCTATGTTGGCACATATTGACGAGGTAGTCTTTCTGAAAAAGCTTGGCCGCTTGCTCGCCTCCTTGGAGGTAGCTTCTCCTGGGTCTGGCAAGACGATTGCTTGCCTCCTAGCGGAGGAGGTTTCTACGGACAAAATAAAGAAGGTGAAGAAGGCTCTCAGGACCATAGGCAAGAAGAGTGGTGTCATTGGTAAAGCGTCATCGGCAGCTTAATGGAGGATACTCGGTCCCATTGTCCTCCATCTCCGTGGATTTGGTGGCGTTCGATGTATGCAATATTGGTTTTGTTAGAGGTTTCTTTGAGGCATAGAAGTGTGAGGGTTCATGGTTGTTACATGTTATGTGTATTTGTCGGGTTGATCGTGGGGTTATGGAGTTTGCTTCTTAGCGAGTAGTCCGCTTGTGGTCTATATGTATCGGTTTTTGCCCGGTTTTTCGTTAATTAACTGGACAATTTTTTTCTTCTTAATTAATTGATGAGGCAAATCTTTTGCCTCCGTTTCGAAAAAAAAAACTACAAGTTTATTTTGGGACGGAGGGAGTAGTACGGAGTTGTAGAGTAACCTAAAAAACGGTTAGTATCACATGTCATTTAGATAATACTCCCCCGTCTCATAATATAAAAGTATTTTTGACACATTTATGACCACTAATAATCTCTTCCTGTCCCAGATCGTCTCAAGTGAGAAATTTACGGACCTCAGATCGATAGACGTGCATCTCACACAACCCTGGTGAGCAGATTCATTGATTGCAGCTCGTGTATTACTTGGCACCAAAATGAGTTCGATATAGTATTTCATATTTTGGGAGTGCAGTGTTTCGGTGCCCAAGCTCATCTATACCCAGTTAGAAAAAAACCATAAAATAATAAAAATCCAAAAAAATGCATGCTAGAAAATTTAGTGCGCGAGGTCCGCTTTAATTTTTAAATCCTTTGGACATCTAAGCAGATCTCGACAAAAAAGACAAATCGGGTCAGAGCAGTGCATGAACAGTAAACTTTTTTATATACTTCGAATTTGTCTTTTTTGCTGAGATCTGCTCAGATGTCCAAATGATTTAAAAATTAGAGCGGACCTCATGCATCAAATTATCTATCGTACAATTATTTTTTTTAAATCTAGTATTTATTTTGATTTTTTCCCTCTGCGCGGGTGCAGATGAGCCTGGGCATTAGAAGCGGATTTTCAATACTTTAAGTGCAGCGTTCGGTGCCCAAGCTGATTTATTTTTTCTTTTTTTGAAAATGGAGGCAAAAGATTAGCCTCGTCAATTAATTCCGTGCTTATTTTGGGCTGAATTTTTGACCTGTAGGATTTTGGTGGGTCATGGCAAGCTTCTTTCGATGTGGGACTACAAGAGGCAGGTAGCGGTATTTAACACGAAAATGCATAGGAGCTCTCGGGTGCTACGGCCCCCTATATTCAAAAATAATTTAGTAATTCAAAAAAAGTCAAAAAATCCTGGAATTTTTTAGGGAATCAAACATGACCAGGTATTGCACTCATATAAAAAGATTAAATAGGGAATGACCTTTATTGTATCCGGGGTTAAATATTTTCCAAAAAATGCTAGATATAAGTACTATTCATGCTACATTGTCGTCATAAATTTGTCTTTTTTGCCCTGAAGTGAACGAGAATCATTCCTCGGCCAAACTTTTTATATGAGTACAATACCTAGTCATATTTGGTTCAAAAATATATCTAGGATTTTTTTACTTTTTTTGAATTATTAAATTGTTTTTGAATATAGGGGGATGGAGCACCCGAGTGCTCCTAATCCGCTTCCATGCGTATATGCCTTTCGCACTAATCTTGTTTAAAAGTATTTCATACAATTGGGCACACTTAATTTATTTATAATTGCCAGGAACCAGTGGTCGCATTGGGTGTCGTGGGGGCAACGATAGTTTATTCGGTTAGGTTCATCCCTCGACGTGATTGGTTTGTAGCCGGGGATGATAATGGATACATTCACGTGTACTTGTGTGTTACATGGAAAGAAGTTAAGAGTTTCCAAGCTGGAGACGGTGGTAGCTCTGATGTCACATCACTGGCGATTCACCCTACCAGCCCGTACCTACTATCTGCGTGTACAGACGGCGTGGTCAAGCTGTGGGACTGGGACAGTG